AACGAAACATATGGTGTTTGTGACTGACATAGAGCTGTATGCAAGGGATTTCCCTACGACATTTTATAAAGTAACTCAACAGTCGCAGTAATATTATGTGATGTGACAATATTAACTAACAGGGCAAGCGCGTAAGCATATTCTGCTGACACAATAAATCTAGAAATAACACATTGTAACCCCACTATTTCTGTTAAACTAAGCATATTCTTCAAACCATGTTTAGCTAAATATACCTGTAAGTTGTATAATTGGATTCCATATTATTATTTACCTCCAACAAGCGCTACTTAGCTGCCATGATCCGAGACTGTCGCAGTGCCTTCAGACTCTCAACTGCAAAATCCTGAGTCAACCTAGTTCAACTGAAAGTTGCGGTGACCACTGAAAAAATCACTATTTACCAGGCATCTTAGTCTCTTTACAAACTGATGATACTCAGACAACAATTCGTTTTATAGAAAAATTTAGCTGATTAATGGCAGATGTTGCGCTATCGTTAGTCCAAAAGTATTCAATATCAGCAATGTGCAGAAAAGAATAATATCATATCTATTATATTATTATATATATATAAAAATTAAACCCGTTTTTCGTTGTCGCCACATAACATGAAACCGGCTTGACCGATTTGGCTGATTTTATTTTATTTTGATTTTTTTTTTTATACTCTGCACAAGGTTCTTACGCAAACAAATATTAAGAAAATGTCTCAGAAAGATTGGAAAATATACATTTAGTTTTGGATATTTTAAAAAACGCGCATAACGAATGTCAACATCATCTGTAATCGGTAATCTATCGATACCGATATAAAAAAAAATCTGTGACAACACATCTACCGCGGCTTGACCGATTTGGGTAAAAATTGGTATGGAGGTAGCTTAGAGTCAGGAGACGGACATAAGATACTTTTTATCCCGTTCGACATAAAATCGGGATATCCATCGCTGATAAATAGCATTAAGTACAAACCAAAATATCAAGTAGTCGGTTAATAACATTTCAATTAAAAACAATAAAATAAATAAAGTGCAGGCATTTGTCTTTAAGGTGGTAAGTTGAAATGTGTTCATTATGTGGATTATGTGGAGAAACACAAAATATAATAATATAAAGTGCCCTATTGAGAAAACGTGTGAGGACACGAAGATCATTGGCATCAACGGAGAACTACAGTGATGATGAAAATGTAGCTATTTGACCAATGACGACTATATGCCGATATTGCATGCGTTGAAGTTCAAAAGAGAAACGGCGGGATTGTGCTGCGCAAGTGAAAAAGTTAAAGTGGCTCCATTACTTTTCAAAAATAAAACAAAAATAAAAAAATTTTGTATCACCAATCGAAATGTTACATAAAACGAAGCCATCTGGTGGCGAAACGAAGTTCGCCGGGTTCCTAGTATTATATATGTATATAAAGGTCATCAACCTTCGTGTAGTAGTACAATTAACGAAAATTACATTAGACAACAAAGATGATTGAAATATAATTTGCGAATTCGTTGTTGCAATTATCGAACCAGATATGTATTAGTAAAACAATTGTTTAGTTCTTAAACAAAAAAAACAATTGAAATAAGCCTCAAATCTTCCGTTAGTATGTGATAGGATAAGTATTTTGTACTTTCCCTGCAGTTCATGTCTTCAACGAGCCAACTGCGACTTCTACCGAGACAACGCTCTCAGGCGGCAATCGAGCCAAATCCGGTAGTCTCGTGCTCTCATTCGCTCTCTCTCTTGATGAAACGTTGATGAAAAAAGTCCGAAACACATAGGCCTGTCATCAGTAAAAATCAGCATGTAGATTCTCTTGCACGCTCCCTTTCTAAATAATATAATCGCGTGAGAGTTTTGGTAAAGAAGTAAATACATATCATAAATAGTGGAATTTATGGAAATCAGTAAAACTAAATTAAAAACAGTAGAATTACACAAGTAACCGTGAAATTATATGGAAAACAGTGGAATTAATTGAATATTACGAACTACTTTTTGACCGAAGTATTGAATGATATATTGGACAGTACTAGGGCTCAGGTTGACCGTTTCAGCTAAATTTCGTTTAGTTTTTTATTTTTAAAGTATTTAGGACTAATTTTGTCTATTCTGTGGGTGTACGCGGGGTCATTTTCGTAAATCAAAAAAAACTTTTTTCCAGTGTAACCAAACGCCACCAAGTAATGTCTCCAATGGGTTGCAACAAGAATAAGCTATTAAAGATTAACAAATTACAAATTAGGTGTACTGAAAGTTCTGTGACATGAAAAAAGCCAGAATTTTTAGTTTTTTTTTTTTAGTTAATGAATCGTCGATGAATTACTGATGAGTTGTACTGCAGGATAGCCTATTATTATATTTTTGGTCCAATTGGGAGTACACGAATATTGAAATGACATTAAATCATCCTATATGTTCTATGGAGACCTTATTTTCACCACTTTCATACATAAGTTAATTTTTATGTACTGCTATTTTCGTTTCGATTGACAGTGTGAGAACTCTTTGTCGTCAGTTTCTTATTTCTCGTTGCATTATTTACTAAATTTTCTTTCTAATGATTCTAAAGCGTGTTTGCGTGATTAATCGTGTATATAATCGTATAATCGAATAATAATAATAATATATAATAATAATTTGCAGTGTTAATACTGTACAGCTGTTGAAGTTTTTTTAATTTATTTTATCTCTGATACATGTCAAGTTGCGAAAATAAATCACTCCGACGCCACTCGACCCGTTCCTAACGGGATTCCTGGCGGGCGCCGCAAGTCCTTCATTTGCCCTTGCCTGTTGGAGCTCCTTCTCTAGATTTGCGATCCTTGCCATAAGCTTCGCAATCTGTGAAGTCGTGGGGTCCACATCCTGTCCCAGCGCTTCCGCTTGGGCAGGTCCAGTGGTGCGTTTTACCCCGATTCCTTCCTCTGGAGTCCGTGGCCGCTGTGGGCCACCGTCTGCATACGCCAAGCCGGCCGGTGTGCCGGATGCTGCAGATGTGGTCGTAGCTGCGGTAACCTCTGGTTGATTAAGTCTCCGTCTGGAGCTCCGTCTGGGCGAATGTGTCGTCGGCATATCACGCGTTTAACTCCGTACGTGTTTTCCAAATGCCGTTAGGGTTCCGACTCTAATGCGAATTAAGATGCGAACTCAAAGAATGCGAATAAAAGAATGCGAATAAAAGAAATGACGCCGATCCAAATCCCGGGAGTTGCCATCTAACACCTTTGCTCCACCGAAACAAGAAATACCAGATCCTGTAGCGTATCCAACACTCGGACTTGAAGTGTGGTAATGAGCTTACTCGAAAGTGTTTTATTCTGTTGAGGAGTAGTACATACTTAGAATTAACCTCAACCTATTTCCCTTTTACATACCGCAGTATCTCTTCCCTTCTCTGCTGGGATCGCCGATCGGAATAACCGTGGCGCCGAACTTAACATAGCTTTCGGCCATAAACAGTGTGGCCAATTACAAACATAGTTCAAATACCGAATACATACTTAACGAAGGTTCGCCTTAGTGGCGCGTAATTCAAACTTGACTGACTATCGCTATTCTAGCGGGTTAGCTTATCCGTTCCGCGACAATGGTATTGAAGAATCAAACATAAATTCTGGATTCCAATATAAATATTGTCAAAAAGAGCACTTCACCCACCAACGAACTCATCAAAACTCAAGAAGAACTAGAAACTATCAACAGAGTAATAGGCAAATATAAAGGTGACTACTAACAACAACCATTTAGGGTCCCAACAGCTCTACTCGCAACTGGGGTTCGGAGTAAGCAAAAGGAGATAAGCAGCGTGCTTATCGAACTTTCCCACTGAACTATTAGTCCCATACTATCGTCTCCTAAGCAGCAAAGGGATCACCTAGATCATATTCGGTACTGCAACTCTACAAAATCATGCATGCCGATGAGTTTGACCAATGTATAGAGTTGCCAATTGATGAACGCACTTCAATTACCGTTTTCAGATATTTAACGAAAAGACTGAAACAGTATGTGAGATTGTTTAATCAAAATCCGATCTGATGTAGACAACAAAACATCAACGAAACATATGGTGTTTGTGACTGACATAGAGCTGTATGCAAGGGATTTCCCTACGACATTTTATAAAGTAACTCAACAGTCGCAGTAATATTATGTGATGTGACAATATTAACTAACAGGGCAAGCGCGTAAGCATATTCTGCTGACACAATAAATCTAGAAATAACACATTGTAACCCCACTATTTCTGTTAAACTAAGCATATTCTTCAAACCATGTTTAGCTAAATATACCTGTAAGTTGTATAATTGGATTCCATATTATTATTTACCTCCAACAAGCGCTACTTAGCTGCCATGATCCGAGACTGTCGCAGTGCCTTCAGACTCTCAACTGCAAAATCCTGAGTCAACCTAGTTCAACTGAAAGTTGCGGTGACCACTGAAAAAATCACTATTTACCAGGCATCTTAGTCTCTTTACAAACTGATGATACTCAGACAACAATTCGTTTTATAGAAAAATTTAGCTGATTAATGGCAGATGTTGCGCTATCGTTAGTCCAAAAGTATTCAATATCAGCAATGTGCAGAAAAGAATAATATCATATCTATTATATTATTATATATATATAAAAATTAAACCCGTTTTTCGTTGTCGCCACATAACATGAAACCGGCTTGACCGATTTGGCTGATTTTATTTTATTTTGATTTTTTTTTTTATACTCTGCACAAGGTTCTTACGCAAACAAAGAAAATGTCTCAGAAAGATTCGAAAATATACATTTAGTTTTGGATATTTTAAAAAACGCGCATAACGAATGTCAACATCATCTGTAATCGGTAATCTATCGATACCGATATAAAAAAAAATCTGTGACAACACATCTACCGCGGCTTGACCGATTTGGGTAAAAATTGGTAGGGAGGTAGCTTAGAGCCAGGAGACGGACATAAGATACTTTTTATCCCGTTCGACATAAAATCGGGATATCCATCGCTGATAAATAGCATTAAGTACAAACCAAAATATCAAGTAGTCGGTTAATAACATTTCAATTAAAAACAATAAAATAAATAAAGTGCAGGCATTTGTCTTTAAGGTGGTAAGTTGAAATGTGTTCATTATGTGGATTTGAGGTTATAGTCCAAAAGGACAATGTGTATTCACAGAACTTAAGCGAAGAAAGACAAAATATAATAATATAAAGGATATAATAATATAAAGGACACGAAGATCATTGGCATCAACGGAGAATTACAGTGATGATGAAAATGTAGCTATTTGACCAATGACGACTATATGCCGATATTGCATGCGTTGAAGTTCAAAAAAGAAAGATTTTGTATCACCAATCGAAATCTTACATAAAACGAAGCCATCTGGTGGCGAAACGAAGTTCGCCGGGTTCCTAGTATTATATATGTATATAAAGGTCATCAACCTTCGTGTAGTAGTACAATTAACGAAAATTACATTAGACAACAAAGATGATTGAAATATAATTTGCGAATTCGTTGTTGCAATTATCGAACCAGATATGTATTAGTAAAACAATTGTTTAGTTCTTAAACAAAAAAAACAATTGAAATAAGCCTCAAATCTTCCGTTAGTATGTGATAGGATAAGTATTTTGTACTTTCCCTGCAGTTCATGTCTTCAACGAGCCAACTGCGACTTCTACCGAGACAACGCTCTCAGGCGGCAATCGAGCCAAATCCGGTAGTCTCGCGCTCTCATTCGCTCTCTCTTGATGAAACGTTGATGAAAAAAAGTCCGAAACACATAGGCCTGTCATCAGTAAAAATCAGCATGTAGATTCTCTTGCACGCTCCCTTTCTAAATAATATAATCGCGTGAGAGTTTTGGTAAAGAAGTAAATACATATCATAAATAGTGGAATTTATGGAAATCAGTAAAACTAAATTAAAAACAGTAGAATTACACAAGTAACCGTGAAATTATATGGAAAACAGTGGAATTAATTGAATATTACGAACTACTTTTTGACCGAAGTATTGAATGATATATTGGACAGTACTAGGGCTCAGGTTTACCGTTTCAGCTAAATTTCGTTTAGTTTTTTATTTTTGAAGTATTTAGGACCAATTTTGTCTATTCTGTGGGTGTACGCGGGGTCATTTTCGTAAATCAAAAAAAAACTTTTTTCCAGTGTAACCAAACGCCACCAAGTAATGTCTCCAATGGGTTGCAACAAGAATAAGCTATTAAAGATTAACAAATTACAAATTAGGTGTACTGAAAGTTCTGTGACATGAAAAAAGCCAGAATTTTTAGTTTTTTTTTTTTAGTTAATGAATCGTCGATGAATTACTGATGAGTTGTACTGCAGGATAGCCTATTATTATATTTTTGGTCCAATTGGGAGTACACGAATATTGAAATGACATTAAATCATCCTATATGTTCTATGGAGACCTTATTTTCACCACTTTCATACATAAGTTAATTTTTATGTACTGCTATTTTCGTTTCGATTGACAGTGTGAGAACTCTTTGTCGTCAGTTTCTTATTTCTCGTTGCATTATTTACTAAATTTTCTTTCTAATGATTCTAAAGCGTGTTTGCGTGATTAATCGTGTATATAATCGTATAATCGAATAATAATAATAATATATAATAATAATTTGCAGTGTTAATACTGTACAGCTGTTGAAGTTTTTTTAATTTATTTTATCTCTGATACATGTCAAGTTGCGAAAATAAATCACTCCGACGCCACTCGACCCGTTCCTAACGGGATTCCTGGCAGGCGCCGCAAGTCCTTCATTTGCCCTTGCCTGTTGGAGCTCCTTCTCTAGATTTGCGATCCTTGCCATAAGCTTCGCAAGCTGTGAAGTCGTGGGGTCCACATCCTGTCCCAGCGCTTCCGCTTGGGCAGGTCCAGTGGTGCGTTTTACCCCGATTCCTTCCTCTGGAGTCCGTGGCCGCTGTGGGCCACCGTCTGCATACGCCAAGCCGGCCGGTGTGCCGGATGCTGCAGATGTGGTCGTAGCTGCGGTAACCTCTGGTTGATTAAGTCTCCGTCTGGAGCTCCGTCTGGGCGAATGTGTCGTCGGCATATCACGCGTTTAACTCCGTACGTGTTTTCCAAATGCCGTTAGGGTTCCGACTCTAATGCGAATTAAGATGCGAACTCAAAGAATGCGAATAAAAGAATGCGAATAAAAGAAATGACGCCGATCCAAATCCCGGGAGTTGCCATCTAACACCTTTGCTCCACCGAAACAAGAAATACCAGATCCTGTAGCGTATCCAACACTCGGACTTGAAGTGTGGTAATGAGCTTACTCGAAAGTGTTTTATTCTGTTGAGGAGTAGTACATACTTAGAATTAACCTCAACCTATTTCCCTTTTACATACCGCAGTATCTCTTCCCTTCTCTGCTGGGATCGCCGATCGGAATAACCGTGGCGCCGAACTTAACATAGCTTTCGGCCATAAACAGTGTGGCCAATTACAAACATAGTTCAAATACCGAATACATACTTAACGAAGGTTCGCCTAAGTGGCGCGTAATTCAAACTTGACTGACTATCGCTATTCTAGCGGGTTAGCTTATCCGTTCCGCGACAATGGTATTGAAGAATCAAACATAAATTCTGGATTCCAATATAAATATTGTCAAAAAGAGCACTTCACCCACCAACGAACTCATCAAAACTCAAGAAGAACTAGAAACTATCAACAGAGTAATAGGCAAATATAAAGGTGACTACTAACAACAACCATTTAGGGTCCCAACAGCTCTACTCGCAACTGGGGTTCGGAGTAAGCAAAAGGAGATAAGCAGCGTGCTTATCGAACTTTCCCACTGAACTATTAGTCCCATACTATCGTCTCCTAAGCAGCAAAGGGATTACCTAGATCATATTCGGTACTGCAACTCTACAAAATCATGCATGCCGATGAGTTTGACCAATGTATAGAGTTGCCAATTGATGAACGCACTTCAATTACCGTTTTCAGATATTTAACGAAAAGACTGAAACAGTATGTGAGATTGTTTAATCAAAATCCGATCTGATGTAGACAACAAAACATCAACGAAACATATGGATATTTGTGACTGGCATAGAGCTGTATGCAAGGGATTTCCCTACGACATTTTATAAAGTAACTCAACAGTCGCAGTAATATTATGTGATGTGACAATATTAACTAACAGGGCAAGCGCGTAAGCATATTCTGCTGACACGATAAATCTAGAAATAACACATTGTAACCCCACTATTTCTGTTAAACTAAGCATATTCTTCAAACCATGTTTAGCTAAATATACCTGTAAGTTGTATAATTGGATTCCATATTATTATTTACCTCCAACAAGCGCTACTTAGCTGCCATGATCCGAGACTGTCGCAGTGCCTTCAGACTCTCAACTGCAAAATCCTGAGTCAACCTAGTTCAACTGAAAGTTGCGGTGACCACTGAAAAAATCACTATTTACCAGGCATCTTAGTCTCTTTACAAACTGATGATACTCAGACAACAATTCGTTTTATAGAAAAATTTAGCTGATTAATGGCAGATGTTGCGCTATCGTTAGTCCAAAAGTATTCAATATCAGCAATGTGCAGAAAAGAATAATATCATATCTATTATATTATTATATATATATAAAATTAAACCCGTTTTTCGTTGTCGCCACATAACATGAAACCGTCTTGACCGATTTGGCTGATTTTATTTTATTTTGATTTTTTTTTCTTATACTCTGCACAAGGTTCTTACGCAAACAAATATTAAGAAAATGTCTCAGAAAGATTGGAAAATATACATTTAGTTTTGGATATTTTAAAAAACGCGCATAACGAATGTCAACATCATCTGTAATCGGTAATCTATCGATACCGATATAAAAAAAAATCTGTGACAACACATCTACCGCGGCTTGACCGATTTGGGTAAAAATTGGTAGGGAGGTAGCTTAGAGCCAGGAGACGGACATAAGATACTTTTTATCCCGTTCGACATAAAATCGGGATATCCATCGCTGATAAATAGCATTAAGTACAAACCAAAATATCAAGTAGTCGGTTAATAACATTTCAATTAAAAACAATAAAATAAATAAAGTGCAGGCATTTGTCTTTAAGGTGGTAAGTTGAAATGTGTTCATTATGTGGATTTGAGGTTATAGTCCAAAAGGACAATGTGTATTCACAGAACTTAAGCGAAGAAAGACAAAATATAATAATATAAAGGATATAATAATATAAAGGACACGAAGATCATTGGCATCAACGGAGAATTACAGTGATGATGAAAATGTAGCTATTTGACCAATGACGACTATATGCCGATATTGCATGCGTTGAAGTTCAAAAAAGAAACGGCGGGATTGTGCTGCGCAAGTGAAAAAGTTAAAGTGGCTCCATTACTTTTCAAAAATAAAACAAAAATAAAAAAAAAAAAAAATAGTAAAACAATTGTTTAGTTCTTAAACAAAAAAAACAATTGAAATAAGCCTCAAATCTTCCGTTAGTATGTGATAGGATAAGTATTTTGTACTTTCCCTGCAGTTCATGTCTTCAACGAGCCAACTGCGACTTCTACCGAGACAACGCTCTCAGGCGGCAATCGAGCCAAATCCGGTAGTCTCGCGCTCTCATTCGCTCTCTCTTGATGAAACGTTGATGAAAAAAAGTCCGAAACACATAGGCCTGTCATCAGTAAAAATCAGCATGTAGATTCTCTTGCACGCTCCCTTTCTAAATAATATAATCGCGTGAGAGTTTTGGTAAAGAAGTAAATACATATCATAAATAGTGGAATTTATGGAAATCAGTAAAACTAAATTAAAAACAGTAGAATTACACAAGTAACCGTGAAATTATATGGAAAACAGTGGAATTAATTGAATATTACGAACTACTTTTTGACCGAAGTATTGAATGATATATTGGACAGTACTAGGGCTCAGGTTTACCGTTTCAGCTAAATTTCGTTTAGTTTTTTATTTTTGAAGTATTTAGGACCAATTTTGTCTATTCTGTGGGTGTACGCGGGGTCATTTTCGTAAATCAAAAAAAACTTTTTTCCAGTGTAACCAAACGCCACCAAGTAATGTCTCCAATGGGTTGCAACAAGAATAAGCTATTAAAGATTAACAAATTACAAATTAGGTGTACTGAAAGTTCTGTGACATGAAAAAAGCCAGAATTTTTAGTTTTTTTTTTTTAGTTAATGAATTGTCGATGAATTACTGATGAGTTGTACTGCAGGATAGCCTTTTATTATATTTTTGGTCCAATTGGGAGTACACGAATATTGAAATGACATTAAATCATCCTATATGTTCTATGGAGACCTTATTTTCACCACTTTCATACATAAGTTAATTTTTATGTACTGCTATTTTCGTTTCGATTGACAGTGTGAGAACTCTTTGTCGTCAGTTTCTTATTTCTCGTTGCATTATTTACTAAATTTTCTTTCTAATGATTCTAAAGCGTGTTTGCGTGATTAATCGTGTATATAATCGTATAATCGAATAATAATAATAATATATAA